ATAATCATGACGTGAGTAATACATTATAATATATAATAATATTAGAACCATAAAATTATATTAATATAAAATTATATTAATTATTAATATAATAAATATAATTATATCAATACAATATAATATATTATAAAATAATAATTACAATATCATATTATACAACATAATATATTATAATATTATATTATTAAAATAATTATAATATTATTATAATATCATATTATATGATAAAATAATAATATTAGAGTTATTAATATAATTATGATATTATTTGTTATAATATTAATATTATATTATATTACGACTTTGACTTTTAGATTGGGAAGATTGTAAATTTAAAATTTCATTAGGGGTATTATTGGTATTATGAAAGTTTCATTAATTATACTAAGCCACTTTTAAGGAGATTTCATTAGGTTGATTCCCGCACAATTTAAAAGCTAAAGTTGTTTTTATGCTGCTTTTGAGTTTGGCTGTAAATTTTTAAAAAAATCTTTAAAAAACACTTTTAAAGAGATTTACCAAACACTAAAACCAACTTCTTTTGCTACATGCAGAAACCGATTTTGAGAGAGAAAAACAATATCGAACTAAGCCAATATGTGGTAGTGCCAATGATATTGAGGTATGAAATAGTACTCAGTTAACAGCCTTTGATGGATGAAGGAATGGTGCTGGTATTATCTATGAGAACATAGTTTAGTGAGCCGCATCCATCTGATTAATGTTCTGTTTTTTTTTTTTTTTTAATCTCAAATTCTACACCAACGTAACATTCTTCTCACAAGTCACACCCTCCCCAATTCTTTCAACTTTCTCCTCTCCTAATCTCGCAATTATAGGTTGATTTGTATTGTATTTGTTCATGTTTGCATCTTTATGCTTGTAATGTTCAAGTTAAGCTTCATAATAAAACATTATTAATCATAGCTTGGTATTTCAAATATTGTCACTAACCGGGATCTCCTTTAATTGTTTGAGGCTTTGGGCCTTTTTGACCAACATTCACATTTTGATTGAAAATGATGCGGGCCCGGAAAAGGAAGTAGACCCGCTTCAGAAAATGGGCGGGGCAATCAGACCTGGTTTTTATAAGGAAAAAAATTATAAAATAAAAAAAGTCTTTAATCGGGTTGGGCCTGTTACATTATAGGTTTAAAATGGGAAGAAAGAGAAAAATAAGTTAAGACTTGAGATGAATTAAAATTAATAGGTTAATAGTTTACATAAGTTAATAAATATGCCAAATTACTGTTTTTGTCCATAACTTGTCTGGTTATGAACCATAACTTGACAAATTATTGTCCATAATTCACAATTTTTGTCCATAACTTGTCTGGCTATGATTCATAACTTGACGAGTTTACCCATAATTTATCTGGTTATGAACCATAACTTGACATGTTATGGCCTATTAATTTCTATAACTTAAAATTGGCTTATATACTTAGCTTTTCATATTAGCTTATTTTCTACTATTTTCCTTTAAAATGATGGCCTGGTCCGGACATTTAAGGGAGAAAGAGGGAAACAGGCAAAGATTTAAGATAAATTAAAATTAATTAGCCAATAGTTTATATAAGTTTATAAATAGATCAAATTACTGTTTTCGTCCATAACTTGTCTGGTTATAAACCATAACTTGACAAGTTATTGTCTATAATTGTCCATAACTTATCTGGCTATAAACCATAACTTGACAAGTTTGTCCATAACTTATCTGGTTATGAACCATAACTTGACAAGTTATGACATATTAATTTCTATAACTAAAAATTGACCTACATACTTTCTTAATCTTTTCGTATTGGCATATTTCCTACTATTTCCCGACATTTAAACAGGTTGAGCTGGGCCTCGACCGATTCAAGATACGGGATTTGGAACAGTGTGTTTGGACCAGTGTAAACTTGCTGCTCTATTCGATGCTGATTGTACTTATAATTAAACTCGGCCTACAAATAATTAGAAGAGAAAATAAGAGATTCAACAAAACATCAGAGCTCAAAAGAAGAAAATCATCGAGGGGATGTTTGTTTCATGTATCTGTCTTTAGTTCTGAATTATAATGCATAATTCTCTACAGTGTTTTTCTCTTACAAAAAATTTAAATTTCAAAAATTAGAATCATGAATCATGATTTTAAATCCATGAACCAAACGGGCCCCAAGTGTTCTCAAATCTCATTCTATCTCCATATTCAAAGATGATCACCTTAACTGCCTCAGATAATCTACTAAATTCCAGTTTATCTTCATTCTTTACTGATGTAAGGCATAAAGCTGAAGCTTTCTTCTTCTAAACAATCTGTAGATCACAAAAAAGTGCACGTCAAAATCAGTGTTACAAACCAAGAGTTAGTCAATTGTGTACAAATGCACAAAGGATCTCCATCTTTTGGCATAGAGCAGGAGACCAAACAACAAGCTCAATCGGATCAACACAACACGCAATAACCACTAATTGTGCCTTAATCTACGCAGAAAATAGACTCCGTTTAGACCAAGTATAACAAATTTAAAAACATGATCAAGCCTAAAGCCAATATATAAGAAAACCTGCTCAAAGGGGTGTTTGATCTGGTTAAGCCCACATTTTATTCTGACTACAATGGATTTCTTTGCCTCACTTCCGTAAAGTAACAACTCGAAAATATAGGTAGCTGTAACCCAAAATGTAGGCCTAGATACCAAAAGTATTTATCTTTTTCCATGGTATAGTTGACATAACTCAATGGCTAGGCTTCTAAAATTTATAAATGTAACTCTTCAATATGCATAATGTTCATCGTACGAAAGCAGAAACAGAAATAGATATACTACTCACCAAGGTCCTTGTCCAACTCCAAAGTATTTGTGAGGAGGCACATTCAAATGCTTCTTAAGAATCCACCTTTTTCTTCGAATTCGAACAACATGTGGCCATTTGACAAATTGACTCAAATCCTTCTTTGGTGGTAATGCACCATCAATCCCATACTGTAATTACAAGTTCCCAAAGACAATCACTGATACATATATGAAACACATATTTCATTGCTCTAAACATGATTATGATTATGATTATGAATTCTACAAATATCAATATAAAAAGCTGTACTTCTTCGACTGTTGGAAAATCTTCAAAGAGCAAACAAGGGTGACAAAATAGACTGCAAACAAACTTCAACGCATTTCCCATAACATGTTAGGACTAAGTGGGTGACCACATGCTGTGTGAGTGATAAGAACCCAACTTGAATTGAGGAATTGAACAGAAAAATTATATTGATGAAGTAATTGAAAGAGATTACAAGATAGATTGACAGACGTTCGAGAGGTCTGCTGGCTCTCCCAAGAGTTTTCCCAATTCACTCTAATCCATTCTCCCGCCTTTAGTCTCTTTCTATTCCTTATATACTACTACTAACTAGCTTAACAAACATAACAAACCAACCCTAATAACAAATCACTAACCACTTATTATATTGATTACTAATTACTAATATAATCCTATCAGTGAGGTTCTGAAAGTGTAAAGGAATGGATTAAACTATTGCCCATCGATTGTGTGGATGTGTGAGTGGGGAACTACATGTTGCGTGCGGTGTTGGAAGTGCACTGAGGTTGGTGAGTGAAAGTGAGTTTGCATGCATCTGACTGAGGGAGCGAAAGTGAGAAAGTACTTACAGGCCGCTTCTTCGCAGCTAAGGGTGCCTTCCCACATCTTATAGGACCCTATAAGCTTAACAGCACAAGTCAAAGAAAGTAAAAAATTAGTGGCTTAATCTGACAAAGAACTTCAGCCAAGTACCGTCCTGAATTAAGCGGGACAAAAAATTCAGATTTATTCCTGTTTTCATAAAAGAAACTTGTGCAACCCAGACATACCAAGCAGACTATCATGCAAAACTAATAGATACTTCTTTGAAGTTAGCATTTATAAACGCATAGAATACATAAGTAAAAGCTTCCCTCACCATTTTTCCCCCGATTATTGTGGAACCATAACTCAAAATAGTTTCCTTTCCATCAATTAAGCAAATCTCCAATGCCTATTATTCCTTTTCAATTAAGTATAGGCAGGTTCAATTTCAAACTAACCTAGAAAGTAGTAACAAGTAAATTGTCATGCCTACACTAAACGATGCATCGATAAGTAGATCTCAATCGACTAATCAAATTTTAGTTAATAAGCCAAAACACTCCAATCACTGATAACACTTAGCATAACCATTTTCTCCGCGCACACACACACAAAAGAGTAAACTTACAACATTTGCACAACAACAACAACTAGTGCATAAAGGACGTCAAATTCCAGTTAAACGACGTCAAACAAAACAAACTTACATTGTATTTATTCTTGCAACTTACATTATATTCCATAGAACAAAAAAAAAAGGTTGATGAAAAAAAAAGATCAGGCAAGAAAACATCATCACGACAGATCCACCTTCAACTGCTTCAGTGATACCACTGTCAATTTGTTTGCCATAGCACAATTACATCATATTTATACTTGCAACTAAGCTTGTTCCCTTCTACGCACTGAGACAAGACTCCCAGCGTACAAAATTCCCAACCAACTTGGCACCGCCCCATGAACCATAACATTCCTAATCTTTTTGCTGCAAAGATTGTAGGACACCAGCCATTCATCAGTATTTTGCCCAACCATAAGGAGTTCATCATTCTTCCAAAATATGCGTGGATAAAATCTGCCTTCAAAGAGTTGGATCCTTAGATGTTTGACCCAACAACAAGAACCTTTAGCACCACTGGAACAATCATTCATCATCCGCACTTCTAAATACAATATTGGATCCTCACTTTCTTCTGAAATGAAACAGAGGGCAACAACTTCGCTCCACACTGCAAGTTCAATATTTCCTAACGTTTGAAGGTCTCCAAGATCATTTGGTAAAGGTATCACACCAAATACCTCATCACTCATATTAAAAGAAAGGACCGCGTCGAAGTAATCAATGTCGCAAACAAGCCAATAAAAAACTCCTTTGCAAAATACTTTTTTATCAGAATATGTGCCACGAAGTTCGATTTGCATCTCAATCTCTTTCCAACAGTCAGTTGTCATACTATACACTTCAGCTACATTCTTAATCTTAAAACAACCCTCCACCCAAGAAGCTCCAAACCTAACAACCTTGTAGTCATTAGCCCTGGGATCATAGCCAAATCCCGTTTCCAACAGACAAATAATATTAAAGCATGGTGTCGGAAGAACTCTGGATTCCTTGATTGCGGGATTGAACAAAACAGCATTTTCCCCTGAATATATTATGCAAAAAATGCCATCACAGTGACAAAGTGAGTCAACGTCGTCCGCTCCAAACGGAAAATTCAACGCTTTAGTAACACATCGAATGCGGTCATTCTCATCATAATCACCATAACCAAAACTTGTGAGCAACGAGAATCTTCCATGACAATCAACGTAAATCAAGGATGAGGAGGGCGAGATCTTGCTGTTGACATTGTGGAGATGCTTGGCCACGAATGTCTGGTCGGAGATGACATCATTGATAAGCGCGAACCACGACTTGCAGACACACTTGCACCGAATCAGAGACTCGGTAGGTAGCCGCGACATTATCTCTACAATAAGCTCCTTTGGCAGGTGATGGTAATTACTTGCCATTTCTGCAGCACTCAAAACTACCAAGTCTTTTTTGAATTGATATTTGTTTGTTCAAGCCTATAATAAAAAAATTTAAAAATTTAAAAAAAATTTTAAAAAAAAAAGCTTTCAAGATTCGGTATGAGAAGAAACTCACAAAAATGATCAATATGAAGAAGATATAAAAATGTAGATTATCGCCAGTTTCTTAACAGACCAATACACTCACCAAATTCTTTTTTTTTTCGTTCGATTCACAACTATACACACACACGCACACAGATATATATATATATATATATATATATAAAGCAATTAATTATGCCAGAAAGGGAATGATTGGAATGAAAATACGAGAGAGCACAAAACCCATTATTCCTGAGTGGCTTGGAGGAAGAAAACTCGAGAGTGAGAATTGAAGAAGAAGATTTTAATTTTGAAGATGTTTGATAAACTTAGAAAATTACCTGATCCACGGCCACTGAACCAGTGAGAATGCGATGGCGTTGCTGGACCAGCGACGGCTACGACGGAGACTGACTGATCAGGTTTTGAGTGGGTCTCTGAAAGCTAAAGTAAGACTAGTCCCAAGTCTCAAGTCTCACGTCTCAACTGATTAAAAAAGAATAAAGTTAAGCTTGATAAATACTCTTAGAAGTGTATAAGTCATAATTTTTAAATTTTATTTTTAATTTATAATATTTTTAATTAAATAATTACATTAATTAAATAATATTTATTAAAAATAAGAGATAAAAATTTAAATTTATGCACTTTTAAAAATAAATTTTCTATTTTTTTAAGAATATATTTTAAATAATGAGATTAATTACATTAATTCCTCCATAACTATCCTTTGGCCCTGTTTGTTTCTGTTTTCATTTTCATTTTTCATGTTTTTCAAAGTAAAAAATTAAAAACGGTTTTAAAAACGCGTTTGGTGTAAGTTTTTTTAAAAAACAAAAACAAAACCGTTTTTGTCGTTTTGTGAAAATCAGAAAACGAAAAAAAAAAGCTGTTTTCATTTTCTCCATTTTCGTTTTCGTTTTCCTTTTCCTTTTCTCTCATCAGCCTCCCGTTTTCTCTTCAGCCTTCCCCGTCTCAGTTTTTTTTTCTAACCTTCTTCAGCCCTTCTTGCCGGCCGAGCTCCTCCGTTCTTCTCACCGGATTCGTTTTCTCCGGTTTCCTTCTCGCCTGACTTGCGTCGTTGGGGCTCCTCCGGTTTCCTCCGTTCTTCTCATTCTCGTCTCGCCCTCTTCTCACCGAGGTATGCCCCTAGACAAAAACATTTTTCTGTTTGATGGGTTTTCTGATTTGGTTTCCTTCCCGCCTGACTTTGGTTGAGTTTTTTTAGCTCATTTGGTTGTTTTTTTTATGGGTTTTTTTGATCTGATTTTGACTTGATATACTTAACCAAATCGGTTGACTTCCGTTTGATTCAGTTAGTATTTTGTCTTATTTTTTGATATTTTTTATCTGACTTGCTGAATTTTTTTTTCCCTGTGAGCCTCCCATTGGGGCTAAATCAACCCCTGGGAGGCTAATATTGGGGTTGATTCAGCCCCAACGGAGGCCCCCCATTGGGGCTGATTCAGCCCCTGGAAGGCCCTCCCATTGGGGCTGATTTAGCCCCAACGGAGGCCCCCCCATTGGGGCTGTGTCAACCTCTGGGAGGCCCCCGTTGGGGCTGAATCAGCCCCTGGGGGCCTCCCATTGGGGCTGACCTGGGAGGCCCCAATGGGGGCCTCCCACTGGGGCTGAATCAGCCCCTGGGAGGCCCCCGTTGGGGCCGAATCAGCCCCTGGGGGCCTCCCATTGGAGCTGACCTGGGATGCCCCAATGGGGGCCTCCCAAGCCTCCCATTAGGGCTGAATCAGCCCCTGGGAGGCCCCCGTTAGGGCTGAATCAGCCCCTAAGGGCCTCCTATTGGGGCTGAATCAGCCCCTGCGTGTGTGTGTGTATACTTTACAAATTGACATTTATTTTTAATGATGAAAGTGTTATTTTAGATGTGTGATAAGGACGATAACACGAAATAGCAGGCCGCAATTGAGGATTTTTATGTATAACTGATATATGAAGAGTCAAAGACTGGGATGCAAACATCTACTCTGGACAAAAAAAAACGTGGATGAAAATTGCTAATGAAATAGCACTTAAGTTTGGTAAGCATTTCACATCAGACCAGCTTAAAGCAAAGTGGAATAGGCTTAGACATAGCACGAGGGAGTTTAAGGCATTAATTGAAACAACAGGGTTTGGTTGGGATTCTGAGGCTAACACTGTCACAGCTGAAAAAGAAGTATGGGATTCATATGTGGCAGTAAGTTTTGACCATTAACATCTTATGTTATATGAAAGAGTTGAATTGGTGTTTGGATTGCACATGAGTATTTACTCTTGTTTTCTTATTATGTCAGAAACATCCTGAGGCTAAGAAATTCAAGAAAGGGGGTTTGCAGAACTTTGCCCAACTTTCACATATTTTTTTTGGGACTATTGCTACTGGACAGGGGTCAATGAATGCACATACTGCCATTAATGTTTTGAATGCGGCGAAAAGGGCTGCCACACAACCGGAAGAGGATGAGGAGGGTACAGGGGACTCGGATGAAGTCCAGGGTGCAGAAGACAATAGAAACAGACGGTCTCAGGGTCCTACTACTTGATCCAAGAAAAAGGGCAAGAACAATACTGCAGTTGACGTGGCTATAGAGGCTTTGGCAAAGAGTGCTACCCTACGTAGTGAGACATCTTTTCAAAATGTTAATTTGTTTCAGCAATATTTAGCTGATAGGCAAGCCCGTACTATGGCATTAGCCGAGGCTCAGAAAGAGGATCCAACTACAAGTATTGAAACCTGTATGGATTTGCTGAAAGGGTATGAGGAGTATTTAGACGACAATGTGTATAATAAGGCATCACACCAGTTGGCTGTTGACATTTCCCTTAGGTCTTGAAAGCAAGGTTTAAAATTCTTAGGCATATGACCAATTATTGGATGCTAAGACAAAATGTTATACCAATAACTTGTTGTGTGATCCACAATTTAATTAAGATGCACGCACGAGATGATCCTCTATTTAGACAATATGAGGTCGATTTGCTCATAGAAGATATTGAGGGAGAACAAGAAGGGCAACAGGAACAACAACATGGTATGGATGCACAAGAAGCAGAAACATCTGAAATGGGTGGTCGGCAACAACATAATTACATGGTTAATTTTAGGGATCATCTAACTAATCAAATGTGGGATTCGTATAGGCGACAATAATTTAAGCTAAGATTGTAATTTTCATATTTTATTAATTATTAGTGTTTTTATTTGGGATTCAATTATTATTTATTTAATATATTAAATACTATTACATGTTTTCAAACATGAAATTACCAAACGCAGTTTCAATTTTTTTTTTTTAAAACTGAAATCAATCTCTAAATAAAACTACCAAACGCATTTTTAGAAATAATTCAAAAATGAAAATGAAAACGTTTTAATTTCCATTTTCATACAAAAAACAAAAACGTTTTGGAACCAATTCCAAACGCACCCTTTGTTTTTTAAAACTTAATATTTATTCCCCCTAAGCAATAAAACATTAACAAAATCACTTCCTCTGTTAAGAAATCCAACATGTTTTACAAGTGTCGCACTTATAATAGCTGTTGTTCTACAATCTAAAACATAATTACTATTTTACCCGCACACCTTATTTTTTTTATTCTAATTTATATGTACTATAGTAAAATAAAAAAAATAAACTTCATAAATTTTTATTCTAATTTGAAAAAAAAAATTTCTTATTTTCATTTGATTATTTTTACCGTAAAAAATATTTAAAAAAAAACTTCATAAATTTTTTATTCTACCAAAAAATAGATTCATAAAATTTTTAACTTATATCCATTGATTGAATGTTTCATAATTAAAAGTCAAAATTTAAATTAGTTTTAGTTTTAATTTCAAATTTTAAACCATAGAAGTATGAAAATACCCCCAAAAATATTAATTAAATATTAATTTCCGTTAAACTTAATGCATAGGGCTTTTAAAAGAGTTTAGTTTAGTTTAGTTTTTTAATTTGCTAGTTGAAGTCACGTGCTTCGCACGTGTGAGAAACGTTTAGGCCTTTTGTTAGTAATACAAAAAATTAAATTGCAAAAAAAAAACAAAAAAAAAAATGAAAAAGCAAAACATTTAAAGGATTAAAAAAATGAAGATACAAAAGTAAAGAAGAAAAAAAAGAGAAAAGAAATGGAAAAGAAGAGGCCGTCACATGATAATTCTAAAAAAAGTACTATTACAAGAGCCTTTTAACTTTTTTATGTATTATAATATTATTTTCTTAAGAATTCGGTAAAACTATATAATCAATAAGAAACAAAATAATAAAATTTCAAGCAAACAAAAAAAAAGAAGCAAAATTGTAAAAATAAAACATGAAATGCTTTCTAGCTATTTTGACGTAAATTAATTATTAAATTGTCAAATGAGTTTAACAAAATTTAATTAATAAACATAAATTTGTATATGTCTTAATGCGCTAGTTATTAGTTATTGAGCTAATGATGAAAATTAATAAAGAGCAGAAATGTACAGTAGGAGCCAGGAGGGAAGAAATGTAAACAAATGAGTGGTTGGACTTGTTAAAAAAGGGCAAAAGTAAAAAAACGGAAAATAAGTTAGAGATAAAACGAATCACATATAATATTAAATAAAATTATTTCCTACATATAATTAATATAAACAATATAAAAGATTAAAAGTAACCCATTGAGCAAGCAAATTTTTGGAGAGTATTTTCTTTTTCCTTTTTTTTCTTTTTGGGTTTTCTTAGAAAAAAAAACACTTTTTCCTTTGAGGGCCTTTTTGTCATTTCCTTAGTTAAAAATTGAGGATTAACCGGTCCAAAGTATAAATTATAGTACATTTAAAATGACCGGGTATATTGTTGCTAAGGTTCAAAATTCATTAAATTTAAAACCAACGCATAATGTATTTATATAGATTTTCAATAAAATATTTTGCATGCATTCTCATCTACCCCACCCCCACCCCCCCTTCCCTTACTTGGAAAGATCACAATTTAGAAGGGATAGTCTATAATTAGGACTGTTAAAAAAAACCGCAAAATCAACACAGATCACTAGCCAACTGAAGAAAACCGATCGGAAGCAAAATCGACTATCGACGGTTGGTTAACCGACTGACCACCATACATGGGCAATCGGTTGTCAATTCCAGTGGCCGAGGTTGTCAATTAAACCGAACCGACCAATCACTATTACACACTTAAAAATAAGTTTTGTCCAGGTGGAGGTTTGAACCTTCAACTTAGAGGATAAAAGAGCATCAACTAACTACTGAATCACATTGTCCTCATTGGTATCATTGTGGTCTCAATAATATTTATTAATATTTTACGCTTTTCAAACTTTGACAACTAACAACTGAAGTTGCAAGAATCCCACATGAAAAAGAGATGAAAAAATCCTACCTCAACTACTCTATATAAAAGAAGTGAGTCATTCCTTAGCCTCACACTTAATTTTGACTATATTAATAGTTAAAACTGGGCTTGACCAAAAGTTTGTTTTCTCTTAATTTTGACTATATTAATAGTTAAAATTGATGAAAAAAATATAAGTTAAATTTTTTTTTTAATTAACTTCAGTTTTGATGTGAACTGCTAGAAACCGACCATGATTTGATCGGTTAACTGACCGAAGGCTATCATCTTCAGTTCAGTTTCAATTTTTTAAAAACTGACGTAGTCAGTTCAGTCACCAAACCGACCAAAATTGTCAGTTTTAAACTAACAAATAGTCCTATCTATAATAGAGATGACAACAATGACAAGGGTTTGCATAGAGGTGACCTTTTGTTACATAAGAGAAACTCACTTTACTAAAATATATGTTTTATTTCGGCTCCGTTTGGTAGATATACTTAAACATGCTTCTAATTCTACTACAGTCTTTTTTATCTTATAAAAAATTTGAGTTTAAAAATTTCTCCTCACAAAATTCTCTACAATGAATCAGAATCACTGACTTAAACGCGTGAACCAAACGAGGCCTTCAAATATCAATTCACCAATCATATGAAATTTAAGAGTCGCCATAAAAAAACACAATAATCACATAATTCAACAAATAACTAAGATCTAATAACATTTAAATTTATCAAAAGAAAAAGTAATAACATTTAAAAAATACACATTAGAGTTTAGGAAAGTCGATGGTATGTATATCCAATAAAATAATACGACTTACTCAACAAGAAATTAAAATCTTTCTGGTTATGAAACGGAATAGCATTTTCCCGTACCTATATATATATTTGTTTCAATAACATACTTACCAGGTAGAGAGAAGAAAGAAAGCAAATTACCTAACACATAATTAATAACAACTCAACAAGAGACCAGTACTTTAGAAAAAATAAATAAATAGAAAAAAAACCGTAAAAGATCAGTTAATATGCAGCATCTGTTTACTACATGTTACCTGCCATCAAGTAAAATTATCATCCAATATAATCAAAAAGGTAATCTGTATGATGTTTCTATGATTGCCAAGATCCATCAAAAAGGAAGAACTCAAAAAGAGCTAAGAAATGGTTTACTGGTCTCATTCTTCATCATCGTCGTAGTCATCATCATCGTCATCTTCTTCTTGTTCGTCGTCATCATTACCATACTCCTATATATATATATATATATGCGCCATGCAATAGTCAGGACATTGGAAGCAAGTTTTTCAACTCTCTGAAATGTTTTTGGAAGTAACCGAACTGCTAGAGTCGCTTTGAAGAGAGAAGAGAGAGTTGACTATGCGGGTAACTTTTTGTAATATAATAGCAGTACTTAAAAGAAACCTAAAATTAAGCATGCATAGATAAAGCCTATAAGAAAAATGAAGTTTGGTTACTTTACCCTGTACGTTATCCTGCCAACATCATGGTCGTTAACAGAATCCTCTTCGTTGGGCTCCTGTAACAATAAATACACATGTACTTCTAAGAACAAGGTTGGCTAGAAAGGAAAATCGCAAATAAAGTACCTCTAGAAATAAAAGAGAAAATTTCAGAGAAAGAATAAAAACGAATATAGATATGATGAGATAGAATTACATTATTGAAGTACTTCAGAGGATTGGGCCATAAGTCCTCCTTAATTATCTCTCCTACCTGCAATTTCACGGAGAAAAAGCAAATTAATAAAGGAGTTTGTAAACGAAAAGGAAAGAGGAATTAATTTCTATGTGAATTTAACAATGGCCATATAATTTCGAAAGTAGCAGAACATTGAAAGATGAATTCACAATTAGGAAACTAAGAACCGTCAAAAGATGAATTCACAATCATGAAACTAACTGTTAAAACAATCATCATTAACCAATTTGACAGCGCGCATTGAAAAGCAAACATAAAAGAATAGATGCTATATTACATGTATCTATACGCAATCATAAATCAACAAAAGAAACAAATAAAAACTTGCCTCATCCTGAAACTCTATTATGTCTTTCTGTTCAGTTTCGCTAAACCAACTAAAGAAGCTGCATTTATAAACTGTTTCTTAGTGAGTCAACAAAGATCATGGCGAACACACAAGGTTCAATAAACTTATGCATGTATACTCGAATATAAAGAAGTTCATGACAGTGGCTGTAGATATTGGTTAAGTGTATGACATGGAACCTGAAGCAGCTTAGGAGTATGGAAAAGAATTTAAAAATAAAAAAATAAAAAAAAAAGTTCACAGACACAATGTACCCTATTTCTTATAACGCGAGGCAGCAATTAGATAGATTTATATGTGTCTATATTCTATCATGTATAATTAACAGCTCCCAATTTTTTCAATTAGAATTCATCTTGCTCTCAAAGTGCAGACTGAATGTAGTTCAGACATCTTTTATTTTTTATTTTTTACTTTTCCAAAAATCGCTCTTGTCCAGCAAATATGAGCAACAACTAACAATTTATATACTATTTATTACCAGTATCATATCCTGGATTTGTCACTGTTTCCTGGGATAGGAATTTCAATAAACAAATAAAACCTTTTGAAACTATTAGTCATGTCGGCAAATTTTCCATAAACAAAAAGGATTCTTTTTTAACTTCTGTCACATAAAGCAAAAAGATGGGAGCAGAAAGAGAAAACTACTTTGACATTGTACCTGAAGAAGAATCCTACTTTGTTACCAAGAAGATTTGTTTCACCAAGATTTTAATTTGTAAAACATACCATTTTACAGAAAACAGAGTGAACAACACGTTGATCATACAAATTTGTTTGTCAGTAATTCAAACCTTGTTTTTTTCTTTTTTTCTTTTTTTTTTCTTCCCTTTTCCCAGTACCGTTGTAAAGAAGTTTTATCTTTGTAAGTTACATTGTAAAGAACAATGGCTTGCCACATCTACGTATGCACCACTAGGTAAAGATCCTAATCCAACAGCAGGCATTTCAAACACTACCATCTGGAATAAATTAAAAGCAGCATGCCTACAAAAGATGAAAAGCATGTGGAATTAAAAGAATGGACCTCTGGTTAACAAGAGGCTGCTTTTTTCCTTTTTTCTCGTGATTAACTTCCTTAAAAGCAGCAGCCTACACAAGTAGTTCATAGTATGTTGTGATTGTCAAAGGAAAAACAAAAAGAACAGAATAAAATCTAGAAGGTGCAAGAGTGTGACATTACCATGCCCTCTTTCCACTTGATGGTGGTACCAGATATTTTAGTCGTTCCTTCATCAGAGAAGGTGAAGGTTTTTGAAAGCTTTGCATCTTCAAAATAAGGGTTGTTATTGAAATTCTGCAATGAAGAATTAATTACAGAAAAATTTAACAACAGCACGTAACCAGAATGCAACTCAAGAGGTGAACACAACACACCATAAAATTGCACTCAGCAAAAAGTAGATAAAATAAGGTAACGAAAAGGAAAGAATCAACAACTAGGCATGCTTAAAGGGGGAAAAAAGGGAGAGAAAGAAAACTTACAAACGTGATGGAGTATCCTGACTTTATATCTTTAAAGTCCTCCACATCAAGAGAGTATAAATACTTAAAAATCTATACCAGAAACAGAGAGAAACATATTAGAAATATAGAAAAATTTATACCGCCATCAAACTATGTCCAGTTACTGAAAAGACAGAGGTTAATCAACAGAAATCTAACATAACATGACTAGTTTAGACCAAATTGAACAATATGGCCGGTCAAATTTCCCATAATCATGTGTCCAACCTTCTGATCTTCATCACTCAAAAGATCAGAGAGTGCAGGATGGCTCAGGAACTGCACAAAGCAACAACACTAAAGTCACAAAGACGCGAAAGTTTCATTCTTTTGATGTAATTACACGCATAAAAACAGATATAAAGCTAATTAGAAGCTAATTAGTGATTCATAAACTAAAACTAGAGAATCTCAAGTATAGAAATCACTAACAGCGGTGAGCCAGAAATCAGGAATGGCCTTGATAACATCATTCCGCTTAACGTAGACGGGTCGGCGAATCTCGTTATACTTTTGCTCCACTTCCAAGACTTTGTCAGTGGCTTCTTCATTAACCTGTCATTAAGAATTCATATTCCAAACTTTCACAACCAAAACTAATCCTAAAATCGCATTCATTAGCCGCAAATCCTGAAACTCACATTCACAATCAATTCACATTGTATCAAAATCCTTTGTAAAACTAATCCAAAACAAGTAATCTCTTACGCATCACAAAAGAAAAGTGACAATTTATGACATTTGTTTCAAGAACTTTTTAGCAAACAAGGCGAAAGTCAAACAATTTTACATTAGATACAGTAACATGAACAAAAACCTACACACACAAGCAGAATCATGTTCTACACAACAATGACGACATGCAAGAACAAAAACACAGAAAATGTTAGAGAGAGAGAGAGAGAGAGAGAAACCTTGTCGAGGTCATCTTGAAGCTCCTGCAACTTCTCGATTGCGATAAGGAACTCCTCATCGACATGGTCGAATTCCTCGTCGGGAGAAACCTTCTTTTTCTTGCCCTTGTCAACCACCATTTCTCAATCAGAGGATTTTTTTTTTTTTTTTGTTCCTCCTTTCTGGTGAGTTAGACAAAGCGGAAGGGCTTACGGCATTTCGAAGTATTTATATAAGAGAAAAGAAGTCCTTTGCTCTTGTTACTTGCGGGTTTTTGTGTTATAGAGAGAGAAGAAGAATGGGACCCACCCACAATCAGAGTGAATCTGACATCATCGTAGGGTTTTAGACAACAAGATATTTTGGGGCAAGAAGGAAGGAAAATGTTGCTGTGTGAAAATTCTTTTCTACCCTTGTTCTCTTTGTGGTATTTCAGTCTGGATGAAGAATATTGGGTAATTTTTTCAAATATTTAAATGAATTAGTTAAGATTTTTATCTTTTATTAACGTTTTTTAATAAAAAAATATTTATTAAAAATTAAATACTCCAGACTCATACATTAAATTTTTTATTTTTCAAGAATATATTTCAATTTAAAGTTGGGGTGGGTTGGATATAAAAAGCCCATGATGAATATTCTGGAGGCCCACAAGATTAACTAACTAATTTTCTGTTTCTTTTCATTAGCAAAAAAAATTTTCTGTTTCTTTTTTCTTCGACTTCAAAGAATCAAAACACCTTCTTTTTCCCTCTGGGACGAGTTTAAAAACTGGGCAGTAATTTTCTAGGATTTTCTTGAAAAATGAGTTCTTTTTATTAGAATTATTTTCCAACAACTTTAAATACATTTTAAAATGGTGGTATTATAGTACACACTCCAAAGTCCAAAATCAATGTGCTTAATACCTCACACTATGATCCACCTATGTGATTTTTTAAGACCTCCCAATATTGATGTCATTTGCATTTTTGTTATGTCCATAACTTTGAAAACTTTTATTTTACAAGTAGAAAGGCAAAGAGCATTGATCTTTATCCACAATATGTGGGTAGCTTCCACCTCTCGTTTTTTCTTTACTGGTTCTTTTGGTGGTCGTCTCATTGTTGAGGCTTTAATAGTAGTACTTGAAATTATTTTTTCTCTATCATGGTTTGTAATAGAAATGCTTTTTTTCTATGATTTAGTGGTGTTTATCTTGTTTTTTTAGTGTTAAGACTGTTTTTAGTCCGTTAATTTTGTTTCTTTCAAGTGTTTTTTGTAGTCTTGGTGCTATGGATTTATCCGACTTCAGAACTTGGCGTATGTCTATTCACTTAAACGTTTCATTCAAATTTATTGGTGAAACTGATTATTCACTGATGTCATAGTTTTCTTGTGGTTTGAAGACGGGTAGCTCAGCATTTGTGGGTTTTTTTTTTTTTTTTTTTTCCTCATGACTATTAGTGTTTGTGTTGCTTTGATTTGAAATATATTATCCTTTTCAAAAAATAAATAAATTTTGGCCATTCAGAAATAAATAGAGATTGAAAAAGCTGAACAAAATGCAATACCAACAACAAAACTTCAGCCCGTGCATTAAGCATGAGGAGAAGTCCACTATAGATTTGCTATATGTTCAGCCGAATCGTATACATAGTACATGAGTTAAAATTCAGGAGAAAGTCCGATGAATAATTGAATATATGTATAAATAATTGCAGGTATCCTACAGATTGAAGCTTATCTAAGAAGGAAATAAGGATCAAAGCCGTCCCATATTGCATTGTCTTCTCTGGATCCAGGGATCAGATCTTTAATGGTTTCTCCAACGACTTTCTCATGTGATTTAACTACTAACAAATAGAGATTAGAGATCAATGGGTTCCCGAGAAATGGTTTCAGATTTCCACCTAGTTCAACCACGTGAGATAGCAAACCTGCGCCATTCTCAACTTTCCCGTTGAAAATGCAGTTCGATAGGACATAAAAGCCGAGTAAATTGGAATAAAGTGGTAGAAAAGCATCCTTGTGGTTGCCGACACCGCCAAACCAATTGAGTTCACCCTGTTTCTCACCATGGTCCTTCGTAAATGACATCAACCCATGGGAAAATCGCCATCTCCAGTTAAGTAGATATTTCCTAAACTGCTGTTTGTCCAACAAGTCAACTGCCCAATATTTAAAAATTGGTAGCTTCTCCAAATGGGAACAACAAATCTGACTGATCAACAGCTTCTCTTCGTGATGATTATCGATCTCCTTGTCAAAGACGCGTCTAACAAGATCCCCATTAGATACCTCGTAGTTTTCTGCTGCGTTTAGTATCGACTGTAAAAGACGATCAAAGTACTCTATCCAATAACCAAAGATAGAAGAGAGATGCTCAAAACTCAATCCTATCACTTTGTCCACTTGGGTTGGAACTACTTCTGATTGAGAGCTTCTAACAGATGATTTGCATGAGAAGCACGCCTGAACATCTATGGCAAGCCTTAGCCTAATTCCGTCATCCTCATCCTCCAGCAACTTGATGCATGTGAACCATATATCTAGTATTTGACGAGCATACATATTGACACCTTCATTCAGTTCAAAAGCAGAGCGCGGATTATTGGGTGGGAATTCACTAGCTGATATAGAAGAACCAACCAGTGCAGCTTGCTCTAGCAAACCAGAAGCTACAATAGATTCTGCTGCTGCCTTGCGCATGCTTACTGGCTCAGATGAAGCGCTGTGCTTTTTAATTAGGTTGGTGAAATATGAAATTCTGTTGTACATTTGGGCCAATTTTTCCAATTGTTCTGACTCAACATGTTCGATCAATTTCTTCTGTTCTACATAAATTAGAATGTAGCCTGCAAATAAACGTGCAATCCTCTTTACACAAACGCCCATACAGCATACTAGTGTTTCACGTGTTTTTGCATGCCTTGCGATCTTGTATAAGGAGATGAACTTATCCCAAATCAGAGACACAGAATCACAATCCATCCCACCAATATAAATTGCTTCAGTTGATCTTTTATTCTCGGCCTTCCTAAACTGCAGAGAGTTCCAGGTGAAAAGAATCCTCAGAATATAATACGAACATCTGTGATTCTTTTCTGAGTCTAGGAGCTTAAAGAATGTTGGCTGGAGATTGGTGCTGGCCCAGTGCTGAATAATCATGATCTCATTGCTGTACTGGTCATGACATTCAGCTTTAGATTCTGTTGATTGTAGAAACTTAAATAGCCACTTCAATGCTGCAAGTCGAACCTCGTATGCTGAATCTGACAGAGAGCGGACAAACCTTTCTTCAAGTCCTGCAAAAGTGTTCTCTTTTTCAGGCACATTCGAGAAGCTTGAATTCAGTGGAGAAGATAGTTGCGGCAACAGTAAAATGTCTTCAGTCCCTTCCTCAAATACTTGAAACACACAACTGAAGTAAGATACCGCGGCTTGCTGACGAAGTTCTGCTGTAGTTGGATCATAATATGGTAGCCCATAAGAAGCTTCTACATCTAAGCATTCTGTGGATAACTCCAAAAGTAGATTTCGGATAGCATTAAAGCTTCTGTTTGTATTGCATGTTCTAGAAATACTTAACATGTGATCAAGCACCTTTAAGAAAGAGGCATTAAGGATTGGGCAAGAACACAACCTAGGGCTTGCTATCCAGGAACACCTGAAAAGAACTTGAATCAAGTCAGATAGGATCTGATCTTTCTTTGAGAAATCAGCCAGATTTCGACAATTTGTATCAAGAAGAGAACCAAGTTGTAATAGTATTCCATGAATCCAATTGAATGAAGCATGCTGCGATCCATTTGTTTGGTTTGTTAGCCGGTTATCCACTGAAGGCAACTCAGAGGCTATATTGAGGAGCACAGTCTGCAATTTCTCATTAGAAACGAGACCAGTCAAAGCTCTAGACGCAAGAAGACGGACTTTAAGATTGCTTTGGGTCGAGCATCTCCTAATTAATGGCATAAGCAAAAAGGGATCTAGCTCATCTCCAGTTTCACTTGCAATTGTTGAGGGCTTGAGTCTGGTTAAAAAAATAAGCATAGGGCACAAGCTAGGGTGCACCACATTTGCCATGTTCGACTTTGAATCTCCAGATGACCCATTTCCAAGCAGCTGAGTTGCAACTTTCAGTTCACTCAACAGAAATGGATGCAATGAGGGATACCTTCAGTCAAATGAAATTTCATTAGAATTCTCCGAGAAAACATGTAACTATCGGAACTTAATCAGAAAAGTCCATGATAATGAGGAAGACATAAATAAGAGCTCTCCAAATTATTTCAAGTAGTCGTAAAAACACTGTATTCATCTTACTTAACTTTGCACATCCAAAGAGGTCCGGCAATCAAAGTCAAATGTAAGCATGTAAAAGTCAGAGCAAAGAATAGTCCAAGTCCAAGTCCAAGTAGTATATAAAATGTTTAGGTAATTAAGCTTCAATAATCAAGGTATAAATTAGCTAGATACAGGAAACATATGAATGTCTTACCTTTTCCAATCCTAACTTGTGTTTGAATAGAGCTATAAAAAGCAACTCGAGCAATCAGCCCATAAAGGTAATAATTACATTTCTTTAATTTCAATTGGCCTAGAATTTCGAAAGGGCTCTTGGGCACTAAAGAAGCTGCAGGGGTAGATTTCACTTCGAGCTTAAGAAGTGTGCAAAAATTTATTTATCACTTAAGTACATAATTTATCAACGTAGATAATTTTTTCCATTACTAAAATTTCCTCTGTTTCAGAAAAAAAAAAAAAAGAAAAAAATTATCACTTAAATAAAGAATATCAAAACTGCAAAACAGGCAAGAAACTACCGCTCCCCACTAGAATATTAGAATGACTTAATTGTATTCAATAATTAAAAAAATAAAAATAAAACAACTAACCTGTGGAAAAACTCAAGCCCAGTTAGTGCACGTCGTGAAGAATCTCGTTTATGAACATTGAGAAATCCAATCATTCGACGTACCAAGGCAGTGTATGCCAGACAAGCACTGTTCCTTACCTCCCAGTATGGAGAAGAGAACGAGCGAATAGAAAGAATCAAAGACTCAGCAGCAAAACCTGATGTATCTGTAGCTAGGTTGGTGTCATTGAAAGCTGCTCTGAGGACATTGAATGCATGAACAGTAGGAATGACACCCTCATCACGGATCTTAGAGACCATGTCACTGATATTCATATCAGGTGACCTTTTGCACTTAAAATCTTGGTTTGTTTGCATTGAAGAAAGCATGCACAAGTCATCGTTTGAGCTGTTGATTTCAGCTTGATCCAGCAAAGGCTGCTTAGCAACATCAATCAGCCACCGTAACGCCCATGGGAGGAGTTTCTTTGGTGCGCCTTCTGGCTCTGACAGAAATAAAGCAATAAATGCAGCAGGAATACCTGCACTCCTCCTTAATAAATTATCCACCGTTTGACCCTTTGCTACAGTTCTGTCCATTAGTTGCTCCATCCATGATTCTGTCAACTGACAAAGTCTAAAAAGGAAAAATCCATTTTAGAAAATTGCAAAATATGAATTAGCGTGACTACTGACTAGTTTAACAGGTAACAAGTAAGAACTAACAAATTCTGCAGATAAACCCAAGAGTCAACTACAGGCACTTTGTGAAGAGGACTTTGTAATAGACAGGATAGTCAGAGATCAGCCAGATAGATCAGAAAAAAGGGAAAAAATTAAAATTAGTTACGTGAATAATATTGCATCTAGTTCGTCGGGCCTTTCTGAATAGTACAGTGCATGCCTCAGCGCTTCCAAGCCCCATCACTTTCTCTTAAAACTACAGCAAGAGCAGTCTATAATTGTTTCCTTCTTACTGTCAGCTAAGATCACAAGACGATTGACTTAATATGCTAATTATGTCTTAAATGTTAATTTCTTGGTAAATACTAAAGAATAGACCTGGTTGAATTTAATCATTTCCAATGCTCTTTGATAGTATTCTTTTTGGTAAGAAGCAATCATCTTCTAACTATAATGGGCACGCTTGATTTAAATTGTATCCATTGAAAGCACACAAAAAAAAAAAAATGTAATAATAGAAATAGAAAAACCCATAGCTCGAAAATAAGATAGAACATACCGCGGATCATTTGAACACAGTAGACGATTACAAAGAGCTGTAAATCCGGCCCTTGTCTTGTCAATTGCACCATTATGCTTCATCTTTAAAAGGACTTCCAAAAAGTGATTCCCAATTGTTTCGAGTTGTTTCACCTCAAGCATTGCAGCAGATGTCCTAACTGATAATTCAACATCACTGGAAGAGCTGCCTTCTGTGTCTAATGATTCTGCATCATATGGCAAAGGGACCTTTCTTGTGATGGTCCCAAGAAGAAGACTAACCTGAAATCAATTTATTTCCTAACATTAGCTATCCATACTGTCCAATGAATCCACTTTCTAGTCACCATTGGTCAAACTGTAAAAGCAGGCAAAGTGTTTTTTTTTTTCTTTTTTCTTTTTTCTTTTTTAGGAGGGATACAGCAGGCATAGTTGATTATAGGTGAATGAAATAAATGACAATTATAAGGACTGTTTTGAATGAAATAAATGACAATTATAAGGACTGTTTACTTTTTGGCAAGAAACTAGAAGATAATTAAAAGCAGCATCAATGAAAAATAGGCATAAAACAAATAAGTACCTCTTTCATCGCAAGCCAGCAACCAACCATCACAACCTGGTCTGAAGACCTGCTATTTTGCACTAGTTTTGAAACTTTTTCTTCATCTTTGTCCGAAGGTGTGTGCAAATCCACCTCATCTGGAACCTCCGCCAAGAAACTATCGTCACCAACCATCTCATCCATATCCTCGGGCAGATACCAAGCATCTGCAGAAACCACCCAAAGTGCCAGCGAAGTAATTCGCAGCACAAGCTCTAAGAGCTTTGCCAATAAATGTCTCATTGCTGAGATACTCGACAACACTGCATCCAAGTTAAAGTCTAATTCCTCAAAAGTGTACCGTAGTGTCAGCAATACACCATGAACAAAGCTATTTTTGCATGCCTCAGAAAGATCCATCTCTCCCTCCTTTACAGCAGCATCCAACCAATCAATTAGTGACTTTATATACTCTATCACAGGATGTGTAGAGTTGAGAACCTGATAAGGCCTATTTGCCAGTTCTAGTTTAGGCTGTGAACAAGCGACATTCACTGAAGTGTTCACTATCCAACCTAGATTCAAAACGTACTTCCTGAAAATAAGCCGAAAAATCAAAGCTCCAGCCTCACTTTCTCTCACACGTGGACTGCAGACTAATTTCTTAGCCCATGTAATCATGTTCTGAACCATGTTTCCATCTGAAATTCCGGGCAGTGGTGTGGGATAATGCAATAGTATACGGAAAGAGCTCTCCCTCAGCCTATCCCAACTATCTATAACTGAGCCAACTAACAACAAAGTTGAATCTGGTAATATAATTCCTTCATTATAAGGATTAAGCCCCCTTTCAGAAGAAAAGGAGTCACATTTTTCTTGAGTTGCGGAAGGCAAGATAGACCAAACATTAAGCATTACGAGGATGAGATCCATAGCCATTATTTTTCTCTTGTAAGGAGCCGATGGATAGCAAGAGAAAAATAGGAAGCAACTCAACCACCTCATGAAACAAAAAAGATTATTTGCTCTGTTAGCTTCAGTCTCCTCGCTTCCATTTATGAGCTGCTTTTCATTATTGCTGCAATGATCATGAGGTTGCCAGTTACCCTGCTTAAATTGTCTCTCCAATGCAGTTCGAACCCGAGCAAAGAACTTTCTAAACAAGCTCGCCCACTTCATTTGAAAAGCTGTTGAGCTGGACCTCATGTTTAATGGCACTGCCTCCTTCAACAAAGTGAGCTCCAAATGGGAAAGCATACTAGACGTCTTAGGATTTATGAAAAGCGACTCTGCAGCATCAACACGGAGCGACTCATCAACATGGGTCAGTGCCAACACCAACCACTCAACAAGGACTTCAACCTCTATCCCCTTGACGCAAACAAGAGCTTTTTGACCAATGCATTTTGTATCTAATCCCAACTCTATTTGATTTACTGAAGAATCTTTGCACCAATCAATATCCCCTTCGATTAAAGCAAGTAAACGAGATACCTTGAGTAATGAAACTAAAATGGCCACTTTCTGTTGAACTCGGAGTTCCATGTTTGTACCACCGAGCTCAGGATATAACAGCCTATTTCCATCTCCAGTAGGGACAATGGAGATAAAAGCAAGCATAGAAAATATACTATCAACATCAATTTCAAGTAAAACCGGCAAGGCATAAGTATTCAAATTTGAGCGTAGTTTTGAAACTCCAGAAGCAAGTCCACATAGAACAGGGGACAAACAATGCCCTCTGAAAAGTGCATAGCCACCTTCAATTCCCTCACTAGCCCAACACTCGTCACGCAAGTACTCTAGGAAACACTTCAAAAACGACGTGGCTGCACAACACACATCATCGTCCATATATGCATGAACTGTCTCTGAAAGCAAGTGAGGACTCATATCCAACATAGTCCTCACCCCCAGCCTCTTGGTGAGCGAAGCCAAAGGAACATATCTTCCCTTACAACGTGGCCCCAAGCGAAGAAGATCAGAAGCAATCTTTTGCAAGAATGACTTTATTCTCTCACTACCTTCCGACCAATGAAGAGATGACTGAATGTCCAAGAACAGATTAAAAACGAGATGAACTTGCTTAACTGTTTGACTCAAAGGATCCTCTAAATTGTTCCATATAATTCTCAATACCCGGGTTCCCATTTCTTCCGGAATCGGGTCATAGTTATCGGATTGGATGGTGAGATTAGCTAACATGGAGGTCTTGATCTGTTGCAAACATATCTGCAACACAGTGAGTGCATGGAAGTTAAAATGGCTATCCGTAGGATTCTCACAATAATTGCACAACTCAGGCAAAACCCCATCATAAAGTATAGTCCTTGAACTATCTCCAGAAACAGTAAAACAAGTGTTCAGCACTGCTCTCGGAACCGCCGTTAGAATCCCTCTTATCACGCAAAGTCTACTCAACGAAGAAAAACTACGTATCTCAGAACACAAATCTCCATCATAAGGGACTTTCAAAACTGCATTCTCAAAATCATTCTCGGAATTACAAAAAACAGTTTGGTAAAATATACCTTGAATTATAACCAAGCCAAGATCTTCAGGACTCAGACAAACTTGCAGAGCAGCACAGAAGCTCACCCCAGCAGCCACATAACAGTCCCTTGAAAACGACAACGACGTCAAAATGCTCAAAACGACACTCAAACTCCTTCCCAAAACATTCGATTCCGAATCCTGATCCTTAAACTTGGAAGGAAAACGCTGAAGCAAGTAATACAAGCAAGACAAAGCCTCCTGACATTGCTCCATAACAATCGGCGAAGGCCGGGCCCACCTTTCGGTCTCCGAAACGACGCCGTTTAAACTCCCGACGACATCCCAAGCCACCAAAACCGCGCATTCCTCAACAACATCAACCAAGTACCCTACTTTCGGCATGCCCATCACCGAAAGCGCCGTTCTCGAGACGCGAAATCGCTTCCCCCCACCGTCACCGGCGCCGCCTCCGCCATACTCGGCGCAGAGATCGCGAAAGCAGGCGCTGATGACAGAGCGAAAAGCGCGGGCTTTGGCGAGGTCGGAGACGAGAGTTCGGTGGAGAGGGAGGGAGTTGTCGAGGAAGAGAATCCGCAAGTAAAGCTTGGCGGCGAGGGAGGCGAGAGGCTCGTCGGCGGTGAGGAGGAGGTCGGAGAAGGAGCAGGCGAGGGATTTGGCGTGGTTGAGTTGGGCGTGGAGGGAGGTGAGAGAGGTGAAGAGTTTGAGTTGGGAGAAGAACTTGTTTCGGGAGGAAATGGTGGAGAAGGAGTCGGCGTAGGAGTCCGGGAAGACGACGGCGTTGTAGGTGTAACGGTGGCGGTGTTGTATGGCTCTCCATTTGGCCGACATGACTCTGTGAAGAGAGAGAGAGAGAGAGAGAGAGAGAGAGAGAGAGATTTTGGAACTCGGAAATCAGTACAGCTCTCTCTCTCTCCTATCTCTCTCTGTTACTTGCAGTGTGGACAGCAGCAGAGAGAGGAGGAAGGAGGAGGAGAAGGAGAAAGTGGCGGCTTCGAGTTAGGGCAAAGCAACGTTTAGAGAGGGAAAATCCATGATTAATATTTTCAAACGACATGTCGTTGATTGGAGGTTTATTCTTTTGTCTCTTTTTTTTTTTTACGAGATTTCTCTGGGGTGGGGCTAGAGATGCAAGGACGGGCCGTTCTCCATAGGTCCACATGGGCCGCAGGCCAAGTCGGATCAGGCCGGCCCGTATAAAAATACAGAAAATAATAAAAAATAAGTTAATATGAAAAATTTAAGAAAGTATATAGGTTAATTTTTAATTATAGAAATTAATAGGCCATCATTTGTTAAGTTATAATTTATAACTAGATAAGTTATGGACAAACTTGTCAAGTTATGGTTCCTAGCCAGATAAGTTATGGACAATTATGGATAATAACTTGTCAAGTTATGGTTCATAACCAGACAAATTATGAACGAAAACAGTAATTTGGCATATTTATTAACTACGTAAACTATTGACTTATTAATTTTAATTCATCTCAAGTTGGCCTATTTCTCTCTTTCTCTCTAAGAATAATCTCAGCCCAATTCACACCACAGACTAATTTTATATGAGTCAGGTTGGACTGTGCCGCGAGTCAAGATGGATCGTGTCATGAGCCTTGAATGGGCTGGCTCACTCAAGACCCATCTTGGCCCATCATGAGTTTAGATGTGTCAGCTCATCTAAATATACAATTTTCAATTTTTTTATTTTTATTTTCTATTTTTAAATTTTTAAACAAGTTAACAAATATATAAGTTTAAATAGTCAATGAAAATATGAAAATGGATATTTTATTTACGATTACCTCATTAAATAAAAACTTTTTTAAGAAAAATCCAGTGTGACAAAACGTTAGTAAGGAAAAAACAGTACAATCAAGATAATTATACATAAGATGTTTACAAAATTACTAAAAAAAAGAAAAAAAAATGAAGATATTATGGGCCTAAATGGATTGGGTTGGGCCGGCCCATTATGGGCCTAGATGAGCTGGGCTGGGGCAGCCCATCATGGGCCTAGACGGGCCAGCCCAACCCGGTCTGGTTGTGATTTTTCATGGGCCGATATATGTTGGCCCAGCCCAACTCACCAATATTTATAGGCTGGACCGTGCCTTGAACAGTGACAGGCCGTGTCGGCCCAGCCCGTCACTGTATCATGATAGGCCTGGGCCGGCCCACAAGCCCTGACCTATTATTGCATCTCTAGTAGGGCCGAGAAGAAATCTCCATTTTCAACCCTTTTGCTCTACAAATTTTTTTTGATATGAGCTAATACATGTCCAACAGTAAAAAACTCTACTCATACGGGGATCCTAAAGGAGACAAACCCTTTTTTTTTAAAGGACTTTTTTTTAACGAATTTTGATGATTTGATTGAAGGGTTTTTTTCCCCTTGTTTTAATTTTAAAACGAAATTTGATCTTCAAATTTTGATATTTTACATTCGATATTCAAATATACTAGGCCGTTTGATAAATAAGCTCATGCGTTTTGAACCAAAATATTCAAATGAATTTATGTTTGGCAAAACCTTTTGAGGTTTGCTTTTAAAAAAATAAAAATAAAAAACATCCTATTAAAATATATAGGTTCACTGAGTTTTTGTCAGATTATTATGCAGAGAAGAATAGGTTAACATTATATGATATGCAATGTATATTTTTGTGATTTCTCAAACACGACATGGTTTTTAAATTACTAATAGCTTAATGGGAACAGAAGGTTTGGGGTGAAGGTCGAGGCATGCTAGGCAGTAAGCACTACCTTTAAGAATAGATTCCGCCCCTCTCAAATAATATCCAGGTCAGGTGCAAGAACAAACTTCGTGATGATCTAACTTACGACCTGAATTTTGTAAAGATACTTAAGTTTAGTTCATGTATTCAGAATTATAATTTAAAATTATTCTTTTTTTACGTGTATTTTTTATAAAAAAAAATATTATAAAAAATTATAAATTATGATTTAAAATTAAAAATGAATACAGAAAACAAATATTCTTTTTAATTACTGAGTTCTTAAACAACTATATAGACTATATAAACTTTGAACCTCTGGCACCAGTAATAAGTATGAAAGACACAACAACATTGAAGAACATGATTTAGGGACATTGTTTTACAACTTTCTACCACCTTTTAATTGATCAAAGCACGACAAGAGCTTCTGATAAAGTGTTACGAAGGAAAAGAAGTATAGTTTTTATTTTTATTTTTATTGGTATTATTATTTTTGTTCATTCAACTCCGGACCAAATGACTTTATATAGTCACATATATGCGAGATTAACATCAAGCTCTACCTTGGAGAAGCTTCGTACTACTCGAAGAAAACCAGCTACTTAAACAAATAAACTTGTGCTCTCCATTCCTTAAATCTAAAAGCATAAAAAAGAGAAAAAGAAGAAGAGAGAAAAAAAAAAAAAAAGAGAAAAAGAACCCCAATAGTACGCAATTAAAAAAAAAAAACTACAAAATGACTATTTTAAACCTTAGTATTTGTTCATTTGTACTCATAAAAAAAAAATAAATAAATAAACTCAAGTTACAACTTTATTTAAATTCATATTCTTTTGTAAAATTTGAATTTTAACTTAAATTTGAGACTAAAATCTAAGTTCAAATTTTATCTTAAACTCAAGTTCCTAAACTCAAATTTAAGTTAATGAACAATATTTTTTGTATTCTTAAAAATACCATAACTTTTTCATTTTAATTCTGATTGAGATTATTTTTTTATGCGTTTACAATGAAGAGACGAATAAAACCCTACCTATATACTCAATTAAAATTTTTCATCACCATTAATTTTTATTAAAATATTATTTATATACAAACTCAAGTTTTAACATACCGAAACACAAACTCAAAAGATTATCATCTCAAATCATAACTCAAATGTACATAACTAAATACAAACTCAAATTACAATTTCAACTCAAGTTATAACTCAAAATTTATACTTAAGTCACCATAATTTAAAAATGCAACTGAACAAGACTTTAGATTTTGAGAAAAAGATGGCACAAGACAGAGCTTCTAGTTCACAAGAGCAATAAGCCCGTTTAGTTGGAGGATTCGTTCTCTGATTCGAATCATGGTTTATGATTTGTTACAGTATTTTCTCTCATAAAAAATACACGTAAATTGAAAATAATTATAATCTCATAGTTCTAATCCATGAATCAAACGGGTAAAGTCCGAGTTAGTTAACCATTCTTTACACTCTTCGTAATGTCTCCAGATGCAGATATGGTGAAAGCCAAAGCAAAGCCTCCCTCAAGTCAGATTTCCTCTGTAATTCACAATGTGTTTCTACCTTCAGATGTTTCAGATCAGGCAACGGTGATCGGCAAAACTTTCTCAGTTTTTCTGGAAAGAAAAAGTCAATTAGGCCCATATATTTCATAAGAGTTCAACTAAATATTAAATTGTTGAAAATATGGAATCAGTTGGACTAGTTGAAAACTCTTGGAGCAATTGAAATATGAGAGAAAATCAATCAAATTAACGTACCAATCCATATTGCAGGGGACAAGGTGAATAAGTGATAAAAGTTCGGGGGTTATTTTTAAAATTTATCCTAACATTTATTTTAGAAGTTAATTTCGTGAAAAGCCTGAACTTTCTTTTTCTTTCAAAAAATAGTCCTTGTATTGAAAATTGTACGAAATTAGGTCCTTGAACAAAATAAAATGTGTCACAAGTAGTCCTCCGTAAATTAAATAAAATGAAAAACGTTAAATATAGAAAGTTGAACTAAATTTTAATCTCTAGACTAAAGAGTTATATGATAATTACTTAATTAGTCCCTCTGTGAAATAAATAAATAGAAAACATTAAATATGAGTAGCTTCAACCCATTCTAAAACTTTTTGTAATATTTTTTTTTCTTTTTTAAACAAACAATAAAAACTTTTTAAAATACATTTGACAATCTTGTTTTTGTGTTATGTTTTCTTAACTCGATAAAACAAAAATTGGCTAGGATGAGGCGTTAGTTAAGGGATAAGTCGATATCAAAGGTGGATGTTGGAGCTGAGGTCTGGATAGAGTCAATATTAGAGGATGAAGTTCGGTTCAAGGTTTGTACCAGGGTCGTTTGATCTTCAAATCAGGACTAGCATTGTAGAGAAAAGTACACAATTTATCATGATTTTTTTTATTTTAAAAAAACTAATTATCTGTGTCAGTCTGAATAATTGGGTGTCATTGTATCTTTATGTGTTCTTCTTATTAATTTATTAGCAATTATTTATTCTTAAGTGGAGTGGCATAGATAATATTTTTCACCATCTTAAGTGGTATTTCTGGTTTTTTCCTCGACTTTAGAAACATAAAAAAATTAGTTCATTAAAAAAATTACATTTTTCAAAAATTGAGAAATATTCCTCAGTTGCAAACAAAAAATTGAGAGCAATTACAAAAACAAAAGAAAAGCAATATTACTAAATGTATTTTCCAAAAATAAAATAAAACAAACTTTGATTGTTTAAAAAGAAATAGAAAACTATTTAAACATAAAATTATTATCACTCGTGCTACCTAAATCCAATTTTTTTCATCATCTCATGAAATTGAGACTTATTCAAGTTGATGTTTCCTATCTAACTTTTCTGCCGTGTTAATTTATATGTTTGGTTGCTTATGGAAACTTGATTTGATTTTCTTGCATTCCAATACAAATCAAATCCAACTCTTTTCATATCATGAAATTTGAAACTTATTCAAGTTGATGTTTCCTATCTAGCTTAATGAAAAACTTCAATACTGTTTGACTGTGTTGATTTACTTTTTCACAAAATCATGTACACACCCTAACACTGATTATCCAAACGAAAAGAGAGAAGTAAAAAACTTGGATTTTTAATGGGTTTTCTTTATTGATGACTTGGTAGAATTTCAGGTTTCCTCATAACTAATATGTTTAATTTTCCCCATATGTGGTCCTGAACTATGGCCAAGGGCCAAACTATCAGATGGCAAGAATCAGCTGAATTACAAGCCCGAACAGTGGATGATAATTGGTAGCTGGAGCCTGGAAGTTCTCTTCCAGAGGCATAGCTAATGAGTTAAAAACCGTCTAAAAACAATAAATTCAGAGTTGAGATAGGTTTGGTTGTATTTGTGACTATGGATTTGTGGATTTTGGTTCATTTTCCATCATATGCTCTTTGCAACCGATCGGAACAAGATTTCCGGCAGCAGGGCACCCAGATGAGGAGGAGGATGTGGCTGCAGAACATGAAGATAAAGCTAATAGTTTTTGGTATAAGGGTTCGTTTGGTAAGATGATTCAAACTAGGATGATTCTAATCATGATTCTAGAATCAAAACTATGATTCAAGATTTTGGGTTCAAATCATGATTTTAAAACCATGATTTAGAATCAGGTGTTTGAATCACAATGAATCAAGAAGGAGGTGGTTTTAAAATCATGAGTGATTCTGGTGTAAAACATCACATCAGATTCCAAATCATGATTCAGAATCATCCAAACCAAACATTGATTCTGAATCAGAATCATAATTCAGAATCACTGTAAACAAACACTGATTATGAATCAAGCTCCAGAATCATGATTCTGGATCTATTTACCAAACGAACCCTTAATTGCGCTGATTCTCATCACTGTTCTATCTGTTTGCAGAGGCTTCAATTGTTAATGGCTCCTCTTTGCGCTCTTTTTGCACCATCTGCATCAATAAGGGTTGGAGTTCCTCGTACAGTTTTACATTACCCGTCCTCTCACAATTATTTTTTATTGCCATTTCAGATTCTGATATAGCCTCCTGTATATAAGACACTGTATGTATAGTTTCTATGCAAACTCTCTTCTGGTCTTTTGATGCGTGGAAGGTATTCGGTTTCTTTATTTCAAGAATGTCGAAACAATGAAAAAATTGCAACCTAGTGTGATTCATTCCAGATTTGTTGTTCAGCAGTGTTAGTACTCATTTTGTTGAAGCCCGTTCAGTTTGTGTTTCTAGTTTTCTTATTCTCACAACCTTTCCATGCCAAGCATTTTTATCACAATCTTTTGATCTTTTGATCTCTAAGTACATATCACGTTAAAAGAAAAGGAAATTGGGAAAACAATGACATTAAACAAAGGTGCCACGTATCATTCAAGAATTCCTTTTGCTTTTTATAGTCCCCTTATAACAATAATACATCTATAAAGAAAGAAAGACAAATCTATTGAGATACATCTTCAAAAGAATATAGAACGATGGTATTCCAATAACCAGGAAAGAGAACATGCGCATTATGCGTGGTTTATTCGGTCATCTCATACAACAAGGTAGAAAAAAAAGGCGCATTCCAACCAGAAAATGAAGATATAAATAAAGGCAGGCAGAACTTCAATACCTCATGCATTCGATTGTAATGAAGCACAAAAATAAGGCGTATATGAACCACCGTTTTTACATGTTGATCTCCATTTTGTCTATCAACCTGACCTTCCCAAACCAGGCAGCAACACAGAACACAACGGGACTTGTGATCTCTTCCACGGCCACCAAACTTTCTTGGTCAATAATCTGCCAAAACAAAGCAGCACCGTGTTATAACATCTTAGAAAATATGTTCTGATTCAGGACTCGTCATAACAAAAAAAGAATGAGAGGCTCCAGTTCTTGAATATCTTAAATCATTTAAAGTTGACAAAACAAATCAGATCATATGTTCCCTTTTGTTCTAGAATACGAACTTTAAAAGTACTAAATCCCATATCATTTTGTTCTAGCTGTCCAAAAGAAACAAGGGCTTCTGATGAGAAGCATGTTTCATGTGTCACCTCAGCATAATCAACTCTTCCGCCGGCTTCTTCTCTCGCTTTGATGACTAACTCTTTCAATTATCGACAATTAGCTTGACTCTTTTCTGCGGCAATTCTAGCTTTTGACAAAGCCCTGCTTATTGACAATGCCTGGAGATGCAGAAAAAGAACAGATTAACTACCAGACACAACATCTTTCATGAAATTTGAAAGGTTGAAAAAGAAAACTTTAATGGGAATAAAAAAAGGGTAAAATTAAACAGAGTTTCAAGCCTTGGAAGAAAACCTGCTCTCTTTCTTCAGGTGAGAGGTACACATTCCGTGAACTCATTGCAAGGCCATCACTTTCACGAACTACTTCAGAACCTATGAGTTTTATGGCAAAATCAAGATCCCGAACCTGTAAAAATCAACTCAACAATCAGTTACCAAGAACCATCCATAACTTCCTGGTTCCTATCACAGAATCATAACATGCAACTAAACCCAATTGCTAACTTCTCATAAATCACTAAAAGAAAAATGCTCTTGCTCTAGAAGAATAGAACTTGCACCAAGTTAGCCAGTTTCACACGTAATCAAAGGCATGCGCCTATTTTTCATACAACCAACATTCATGCTCAAATCACAAATGAATTCTGTCCCTTTTCCAAACAAATAAAAAAGAAAACTTACAAAAAAGGAAAGGAAAAAAAAAAATCCTCACCATCCGCAGAATAATTCGCAGCTGCTGATAATCCTTCTTCCCAAACACGGCAACATCAGGGTCAACTATATTAAACAACTTGGTGACAGCAGTGGCAACTCCTCTAAAGAAAACATTCCTACTCTTCCCACACATGCCCTTCTCCAATCTCTCAACTTTGACCCACGTTTCATGTCCCAACCACTATTCTCCAAACACGAAACCACTCCAACATCGCTCTCTTCATCACCACCACCACAACCATTAACATTTTTCACACTTGGGTTTGTCGTTCCATAGTCATGCAGATTATGAGGGTGGAAAACGACATCAACACCGCCGGGAACACCACCACAACCATTAACATTTTTCACACTTGGGTTTGTTGTTCCATAGTCATGCAGATTATGAGGGTGGAAAACGACATCAACACCGCCGGGAACATCCATGAGCTTCTGAATATCGCCATTGAAATCAGATGGGTATGTAGAGAGGTCCTCGGAGGGAGAAAACTGGCCTGGGTTTACGTAGATTGAGACAACAACGAGGTCAGAATGGTTGTGAGCTTCTTTAATGATTGATATGTGGCCCTCATGCAGATACCCCATTGTGGGGACGAAGCCTATGGTTTTGCCTTGGGATCTCATTGCTCTTGACCATTTTCTCATTTGGGTCTTGTCTGTTATTATCTCTGGTTTCTTATTCGCCATTTGAGAACTTGTGGGTTTTGGATTTGAGCGTTTGGGATTTAGGATTTGGTGGATTGATAGATAGACTTACTTGGGAAATTGATGAAGAAAAGGCCTTTTATTTTCTTTTATTCTCTCTTTTTTTTAGAGGAAAAAAAATGCTATGTGGGGTTATGAAATAAGAAATGTAGGGTCCGTTTATTTTGCTGATTCGAATTTATAATTTGAGTTGAGATGTGATTTTGTGTGAGAGTTTTTTACTGTAGCAAAAAAGTTAGATGTGACTGTTTCTGAGAGCTTTTTACTGTAGCAAAACTCGAATTCTAAACTCGAATCGACGAAATGAACGGGATCATAAAAAACGTAAAGGAGAAGAGGAGAGCGGAGAGAAATTAATAAAGCAAAATCCAATGCAACAGAAAAAAGCAAAGCTAACCTTTCGTTTTCGCCTCTGCTAAATGAAAATGGAGAGCTAGTACAAACTAGAAACTAGAAAATAGAAATAGAGTAGGAAAAAAAAACAATTTAATTATAAATTTTTAAGGTAAATTGTACTATTACATCTTAAATTATTTGCTTTTTACATAATACACTTTAAATTTTTAATTTTAACAAATTACACTTTAAAATTTTAAAATTATTTAAAATTTTAAAATTATTTACAATTAAGGGTCAATATGTATAATGTCATTAAATTGACGATTTAAAACACATAATTCACACATAAAAGATAAAAAATATCATTTTTTAAATCATGGTAGTGTAAATTTCATGTTTTAGACTTTCAATTTAATAATGTTATTAACTATTAGACTTCAATTACAACTGATTTTAAAATTTAAGATGCAATTTATCAAAATTAAAAATTCAGAGTCTATTATGCAAAAATTGAGGGATTGTTCTTTTGCATTTTTAAGTTAAGGTGATTTGAGTGATGATTTTGAGTTGAGTTTGAGTTATAACTTTAGTTGAAGTTGTAACTTGAGTTTGTGTTTGGATGTGCACATTTGAGTTATGATTTGAATTGAGAATCTTTTTAAGTTTGTGTTTGGGTGTGTCAAAACTTAAATTTGTATTTAGACAATATTTTAGTAAAAACTCAATGGTGATAAAAAATTTTAATAGAGTATATGGGTGGGGTTTTATTCGTCTTTTCGTTGTGAATGCATAGAAAAAAAAAGTTATCTCAATCAGAATTAAAACGAAAAAATTATGACATTTTTAAGAATAAAAAAATATTGTTCATTAAATTGAGTTTCTGAACTCGAGTTGAAAGAAAAATTTAAATTCTAATTTAGCCTCAAACTCAAATTCAAATTCGAGTTTAAATTTAAGTTCAAACTCAAAATTTATAAAAAATATAAATTTAAATAAAATTGTAATTGAAATTTAAACTTTTTTTTTGTTTGTTATAAAAGAACAACCTCTTAATAGTTTGTGATGAAACAATGCAATTTTTTTAATTCGTTTATTTAAATATAAAATGACTAAAAACCCCCCAAATCGAAACCCCTAAAACACACCAAAATCCCTCTCCCTCCCTTTTCACTCGCTCTCACTCTCTCTCTCTCTCTCTCAACAGTACCGGCCGCCATCCCCAGCCATCGCCGCCGCCCAGACCCGACGACACCTCCCGTCTCCGCCGTACAGAGCGGACGGTGTCCAAAAAGCTGTGAGTGGGTTCATTTTAGGCATCAAAGCTGTGACTTTTTTGTGTGTTTCTGCAAAAACAGAAGGGAATTTTCAACTACTGTTTTGATTGAAGCAAGTTTGTACCTTTCTCTTAAGTTTTTTTCCTTTTTTCTTTTTAATTTATCTTTCAATGGCAAGTATAGGTTTTCATTTCCTTCCTCGCTTTTGAAGCAGGTTTCAACATTTCTTATGATTGTGCAAACGAAAAGAGAGAAGTAAAATACCTGGAATTTTAATGGTTTTCTTTGTGTGGAAATACAAATTTTGTAGAATAGGAATTGAAGGAGGTTAAAGAAATGGCCGGAAAATCGAACAAGAGGAGGAACCGGAGAGTGAATTCTTCGGAATCAGTTGAAGTTCCGGCGAATCCCACCGGAAACGATGATAACTTGGAACAAGCTCCGGTGACAAATGAGGACTCTTCCGGTGCCAGGTCGGAGGCGAAAACCGAACCTGAAAACGACAATTCGGCGACTCAAGCGAATCAAGGTGAAAAGATTGGTGATTTTAGTAGGGTTATTTATCAATTTCAATTTATATGTTTGGAAGGAATTTAGTAGAAGCTTTGGCTTGCAATTATGAGATTATTTGTAAAAGCTTATTCAAAAAGCCGTCTTTTTTTTTGTGTGGTGCATTTGAACAATGGAGATAGGTGGATATATTGAGAAGTTTATGTGCAAAAATATTTGCATTACCTAGGTTTTAATAAAGAACCCACATGTGTTAAGACCCCAGGAAGCAAAAGCAAAATCTAAAGAAATGAAAATATAATGCTCCATTGTCCATAGCCATTTCTTCTCGCCGTGGCTTCAGATCATCCTTTTTTGGTAAACTTGTGATTTTTCTTTACTTTATTTAAATTGATTTTCTTGGTTCCTATTACTTTCTTTAATAACTTATCAAAATGCGTTCTTTTAGTGAATATGAATATGAAATTTGTGTATTCCATTTTCTTAATTGTAATTTCAGAGGATAGAAAAGGAACTAGAAAGAGAAAATCGTCAAAGTCTGGTGGCCAAGCCAAAGAGCACAAGGACCAACTGGAAAGGCTTAAAGAAAAGGTTAGCAAATCCACTTCTTTATACTCTTCTTCTCTTTTAGATGTAAGCATAAAACTGGTTTGGCTGTTGAGGGTATTTGAGTCATTTGTTATTGTTTTGCAGGACCCAGCTTTCTATGAATACTTGAGAGAGCGTGACCAGGAACTTCTGCACTTCAATGATGAGGATATTGATGTAAGTTTGTAAAGCAAAACAAAAAAAAAAAGGTTTTTTTTTTTTTAGACACGTTTGTCCTGAACTTTTTGCAGTTTGATACTTTCGTCTTTGAAAATTTTTTCTTAACAATTTAGCCTTGATTTTATAAAAATAATAGCATTTTATATTAATTGTTAATATCGGGTTAAATCTGTGGAAAAATTAGTTTTTACCACCTTGAATTTTTCATAGATTGACACTTGTTGGTGTCTGAATTAGTCTTTATATTTGCTTAAACTTAACCCCTGTTAAAGACTGGAATTGACTTTTATTTGTTTTGGAAATTCAGGGACTAAAATGTTAAGAAAAAATAGTTTATGAATGAAAGTGCCAATCCACCAAAAATTTTAAGGGGCACCAAGTGCTAAGAACCCAAAAATGGATGTTCAACTTGTTGATGCTTCGAATGGATTCTTAAAAGTACTCAATGCTCTTACCTTTTTTTGCAGGAAGATATTGGTACCGACGTGGAAGTGGAACAAATGGAAGTAGATGACGAAATACAAGATGATGGGGATGAAGTTAGTGGCCGTGAAACTGCAAAGAAGGAAGAAAAACCTTTTGCGCGGGTTATAACCACTGAAATGGTGGATTCGTGGTGTAATGCTATCCGAGAGGAGGGAAAGTTGGCTGCCGTACGTCCTCTTATGAGAGCTTTTCGCACTGCGTGTCACTATGGTGATGATGGCGGAGATTATTCGTCGACGAAATTTAGTATTGTGTCTAGTAGTGTTTTCAATAAAATTATGTTGTTTGTACTCACCGAAATGGATGGAATACTTAGAAGACTGACGAAGCTTCCTGCTTCTGGAGGGAAAAAGGAGATGATAACAGATCTGAGAAGCACAAAACAATGGAAGACCTACAATCACTTGGTGAAGTCGTATCTTGGGAATGCTCTACATGTTTTGAACCAAATGACGGACTCAGGAATGATATCGTTTACTTTAAGGCGGCTAAAGTTTTCTTCCATATTTTTGGCTGCTTTCCCAAGTCTCTTAAGGAAGTACGTTAAGGTCTGTACTTCTTTTTATCACCTGTGGTTTGACATATCTAGATTGACTCTAATGCACTATGCAATGCACTCAAATGCTTAAGATTAAATTGATCAAAAGTCAATCTGTAGCTGATTCTTGACTTCTAGTGGTACTAGGTTTCAGTGTTTTGTTTTTCCACTAACATGCTTCTTTTAGTTTTATAAGTCAGTTAAGAAGAGAATAAAACTGTTCTACCTTTTCTTTCAGGTTGCCCTGCACTTTTGGGGTACAGGAGGAGGTGCCCTTCCTGTTGTCTCCCTTCTATTTTTAAGAGATCTATGTATTCGGCTCGGAGCTGATTGCTTAGATGAGTGCTTTAAAGGGATATACAAAGCCTATGTCTTGAACTGCCAGTTTATAAATGCATTGAAATTACAGCATATCCAGTTTCTTCAGAATTGTGTCATTGAACTTTTTGGAGTGGAGATCCCAACTGCATACCAACATGCCTTTGTTTTCATTCGGCAATTGGCAATGATCTTACGGGAGGCCCTTAATACGAAAACTAAGGTCCTATTCATTCGTTTTTACTTGATAGCAAACATCATTCAGTTTTTCAGCTATTGGTTAGTTTTCCTTTCATAAGATGCTTGTTGTTCTTCATTAAACTTAAAGCTCAATTGAACTAAGGTACTAAAAGTTTTGTTATTTCCATAACTAATTATTGATCAGAAGGTTCAAAGAGTTTTTCTTTTTTGTATGTATTCTTGCATTTCACATGTGCTTTGTTCTTGGTTGCTCTTCTAGGAAGCATTTCGCAAAGTTTATGAGTGGAAGTTCATGAACTCCCTTGAGCTCTGGACCGGAGCTATTTGTGCCTACAGCACAGAAGCCGACTTTAGACTACTAGCATTTCCTCTAACCCAAATCATTTCTGGGGTGGCCCGTTTAGTTCCAACTGCCAGATACTTCCCTCTTCGATTGAGGTGTGCTAGAATGCTCAACCGGATCGCTGCTGCAACTGGTAATTTTATTCCAGTTTCAATGCTGCTTTTGGACATGCTGGAAATGAAAGAGTTGAATAGGCCCCCGACGGGAGGGGTGGGAAAATCTGTTGATTTGCGAACAATACTTAAGGTATGTATACGACGAGCATGAACATATTTATTCCTCCAATCGCACTACTTAAAGACTTTTTTTATGATGAGGGTGTGGATAATTTTGTCCTAGGTTAGCAAGCCCGCTTTGAAGACCCGCGCATTTCAGGAGGCATGTGTGTATTCTGTTATTGATGAGCTTGCTGAACATTTAGCTCAATGGAGCTACTCTGTCGCTTTCTTTGAGTTGTCTTTTATTCCAGCTGTACGGTTGCGCAACTTCTGCAAAACCACCAAAGTTGATAGGTTTCGCAAAGCGATGAGGCAGCTTGTCCGCCAGGTAAGCTCTTTAATTAGTGACGAATTGCTTCTGCTTGAGCTTTTTAGGGGTGTTAAATGTGGAATGCTCAAAGTAATTTTCATGCTTTATTATCATGTTCAAAGGTATGGTAGCATTCAGCTAACGCTCTATCTTCTTCAATATGTTCTAGGTTGAGGCTACCTCTGCATTCACAAATGAAAAGCGCAAGTCAATTACTTTCACACCAAATGATTCTGCAGTAACTTCTTTTCTCCAGGTATGTACTTGTTTAGTTTCCTTATTTTCTCCATTTTAGCAGATTTTTTCGCATGCCTTCTATTATGTTTCATTTTCATGCTAAAGTTGCTTCTTTAGTTTTTACCTTTTTAATTACTGGGTAGCAAAGATAGTTGGAAAATCTCACAAATCCCTTTTGTTCGTGAATCTATTTAGTACAAAAGTATTGTCTTGTCCGGCCTGAGAACTTTTTTGTTTTGCTTGTAGGATGAGAAGGCAGCAGGGGCCAGTCCTCTTACGCAGTATGTCTTATCTCTTCGCGAAAGAGCTAAACAAAGAACCGATGCATTGACGGAATCCAGGTTTCTGATCATTACGTAGTCTTTTTTAGATTTCTTTATATCCGTTTTTTCATGTTTGAGATTCTAAGTCTAACATGCTTGTTAATCCTATTATTCTAGTGTCCTTGTTGGTGAAAAATCATTCGTCTTTGGGAATAAGATGCGGGGAAGTGGTGATGAAGAAGAAGATTATACCCTGGATAATGAAGGCAATGCCGCTTTCAGTTCTTCCTGGTTACCAGGAAGCGATTCCAAGTATAGTTATCACATCTCTCTATCTCATTCTATCTTAATCTAATTCGTGTTTTATGATTTACGTTTTGTTATGTTTGTCTGATTACCAGGGCTAAACAACCTAAAGAATCGAACAAGAAGAGGAAAAAGAAGAGAGAGACAGAGCAATTTGAAGAAGATTTTGCGAAGGATGAAGATGTTGTGGAAGACTTGGTGCTTAGTTCAGATGAAGAAGATGGTTCAATGAGCGATGCGGTTCCTTCTGACGAGGAAGATGATGAAAATGGTAAGCCACCGAAACAACAAAACAAGAAGAAACTATCAATAAGCGCATTGAAAAACAAAAAAACTCGCCCGAAGAAATCAAGGAAAGGAAAGAGGGCGAGTTCTAATTAGACTGAGTCGTCGAAGAAATGTAGTTCATGTAAAACGTTCTTCTGTATTGCGATTTTGACCCTAAGTTTTGTTTTCTCATCATTTGAAAAGATAAAATTTCAAGGTAAAGAGGCCTATTTTGGAATTGGAGCTTCAAATTGTTTTATCCACAGATAGAGTTGTCAAACGTGTCATGCCGGGCCGGTACGACACGCTTGACACCAGGCCCATTAAGGGTCTGGGCCGTGCCTGGCATGACCTTGCACAATGTAGGGCCGTGCTTGGGTTGGGCCTGAGAAGAAAAACTCAGGCTCAGTCCAGGCCCTTGGCCCTCGTCCATAAGGGCCAGGGCTGGGGCCCAGCCTTTCACGGGCTGGCCCCGGCCTTTGTATTTTTTTTAAGTTTAATTAAAAAATATATATCATATGTTTCAAAAGATGTGATTTTATTGAAGTGATGTAATAGTACACAAATGACTGTCTCGTTAAAAATCTTACTAAGTAAAACCCGTAGAGAGATCGGGACAAAACCTTTGCGAAGGAAAAAAGAGTGTAGTAGCTAAGAATAATAAATTACAAACCTAAGTGTTTCTAGAAGATTCTGTTATTTTTAAGTTAGAAAAATATTCTTACATCAAATCATCTGTGTATTGTTGTTTTCGTCTTCTGACATATTCCCAGTCTTTAATGCGCATTAGTCCCTCCAAAATATTTGGATGCATTCTGCTTCTTTTCTCGTCAAGAATTCGGTTGATTGCGCTAAAAGCTTGCTCCGATGCTACCGTTGATACTGGAGTTGTCAGAATGTCACGAGCTATTATGGACAGTGTTGAAAAACGATCGGTCTTACTCTTCCACCACTGTAAGATGTCTAGTTTGTCGTCATCGATTACAAAATTTACATCAAAATATTTGACTAGTTCCGTAGACGCTTGTGTTGAGGACGATCCTGTTGTTTTCTCTTTCTTCTTCAAGAAACTCCACGACGATCCTTTAGGCCCCGAATTGGTAGTTGACGACGAAGTTCTCTGTTCTTTTTGACATGTGCTGTATTTTGCTTCATACAAACAAAAAACTTTTTTCTAACATTTTCTTAGCGTCAGTAATACTTAGTTGCATATCTATTTCTAAATTCTTTGCAGTAGCAGTCATCAATGATTCAGTTCCATCTACTCCGCACTTAGTATCTAAAATGGTTGTAAATGCATATAACATAAGACAATCTGACCAATAACTTTTAAATTTATTTTTCATTAACTTAACTATATTTTTAAAAAGTTTTGTATCCCTATAATAAGAAAATGTTTTTGAAATATTAAATAGTTGATGTATAGCTAAATGTGCAGTAGGATAATAAACTCCAGAAAGTAATTCAGTAGTATTGTAAAAACTTCTAGAAATTTAAAAAAATACTCAGCAATCTGCCAATCAGGATCGAAAATTAAAATTTGATTGTTATTACTGTTTACGTATGTCGTGATAATCTGTGAATACGGGAGTGCTGCCTTCAACATTAAATATGTTGAATTTCACTTATGTCTCACGTTAGTTGGAAACTTTTTTGGGCGCATCTGACTGTTCCTGCAATATTGTTTGAATTCTTGAGGCCGAGCTCCAGAACTAGATGTGAATGATAATGATTCTCTAATATTTGTAAGATTAGCTGAGATATGTTCAATTCCTGCCTGAACTACTAAATTAATTATGTGACATGCACACTGTTGATGAAAAATTTCCCATCCAAATGCTGGTTTCAAACTACGTTTAAACAGATTAATTGCAGCTGTATTAGCTGATGCATTATCAAAAGTAATTGTTAAAACTTTATCTTCTATCCCATAAAACTCAAAAATTTCTATTATTGTACTAAAATTAGATGTTGCCTTATGATGATATGGACATAAACGAAAACCAATTATTCATTTTTGTAAAACCCAATCGTCATCAACGTAGTGCGCTGTGACACATAAATATCCAGTTTTATTGCACCCCTCCCACAGATCAGAAGTGCAAGAGACAGTAGCATTAAAAGCCCTAAAATTATCAACAAGAGATTGTCTCATTGCATAAAAAACTTTCATGCAATCAGAGTGAGTTGTGTTTCTACTTACCCGTTTAAATTGTGGGTAAAAGGCTGTCTCGATGAATTCTTCGAACGAGGCATCATCTGCAAAAGAAAAATGCAATTCGGCACTAGTTAGAAATTTAGCTAGTGCCTCACGAACACGTTGTGCATCGTATGTAAAATTTAGTAACCCTTGTGATGTGAGTGATAGTGTTTGTTGGTGGGAGTCCACACTCCCACCTTGGTGCAACGGTAGACATACTTTTCAATGTCTATCCAGATGACCAGTATGTTGAGAATGGAGTCCTAGAAGCATAAGATGTAATAGGATATTTATTATTTATTTAATAAAAGAGTTTATTCATCATTTTATGTGTATATATTTGTGAATATTTTATAAATATCAATGAAAATTTTGTGATTATTTATGTAACCTTAAACATTGTATATAAGTGTTATATATGAGAGGATAATGTTTATGGATAATAATCAAAAAGCAATGTTCATAATGAATTTAATTAAAGTTCAGAATCTTTAATTAAAACATTATTAATACATGTCATTCCCACTTAGAATGGAACGGTGTTATCCGCACTGTTAATATGGTGAGATATTGAATGAGTGTATTTCGCATAATGAGATTATGTGGAACAAGGACACAGACACAATATGAATTTCTAATAATTTCCGTTAAGTATAGAAATTCTAATTGAGTTTACCGATGGTCATATATAGAATTATTTTAATCCTGAGTTCTTAACAGACTCCTATTTATGAATTTGTGTATTTTAATTTACTCGGTACGGATTCTGAGATCCTGAATCATATTCCTTGTATTTTGGAGACATGATGAAGTAGGTA